AACCTCAGTGAAATGTGTGTCAGAGGCTGAAGACAAAGAACCTACTGGAGGTGTTCATGGCTGGTGAGCCTGCACACACAAGTTAGAAGCAGTGGGCAAAGGCCTGTTCTTGCAACCCCAGATTATCTTCACTTGGGGACCGTAACTTGGGCAAATGTTATGAAACACTGACCATGCTGAGCAGATTGTAGCCATAGCTACAGTTTCTGCCTACAAGGCACTTGTAGGGGAAAGTGGTTCTTTGCTGCCACTTCACAGGCAGCACAGCTTGCTTCCCACTCCTTACTCCTGCCAGGGCTGAGAAACCTTGCACTGCTTGCCTGAAGCAGTGCATGATGTTTGACTCCAGGTGAAGAGAGCTAGTGCTTTCTGAAACAGCTTTTTTGTAACGAAGAATTAGTTCTGCACTGAACCTGGATCTATTTAACAGGAGGCTATTTTAACCACAGCTCAAGTGACCTAGCTGTTTAGAGAGAAAAAAAAAAAAAAAGCTTTTAATAGCAGTTATACATCACAGATTTTACTGACAAATAATAAAATGCATACTGGCTTTAGCTAAAACTTTAGCATTTTTAAAAATAGGTTACTTCTTCCTTATCTACCATGCTGATTTTTAAGCTTACCAAGGTACCTTTCTTTCTTTCAGACAGTGAACTTAGCTGTTAAGAAAATAAACCATCTGGAGGGTGTTTAAATTGAAAATCCAGCATTTCTTCCTACCGTGTAATAGCAATTTCCAAGTTACCCTCTTATGAGTCACTTCTGAAGAAGTTAGTAACACAAAAGCTCTGGGACACACATGTTAGTAGAAGATAGGAAAAAAAGAGCAGCATTTTTGCAGTCACACCCTACACAGTATAGAAGCTGTGACTGCTTCCTTTGTATTTTCCCACCTGCACATTTAAGGATGTCCAAGAGATTAGGTATATAAAAATACAAACCCTGCAAGTGTTCATTATTATGGAAGCACAGGGATTGAGCAGAAATAGCTGGCAAGGCACGTTATGCCCTTCAAAAAGTTTAGGGATCATATCTGAAGATTATACAAATGTGCATGGCACGGCAATGGAGCTGAATTAAGTACATACAGGATGACGTCCAGTTTTGTGAGAACGTGAACAAAGACATCCAGAAATAAACACCTTTCCAAACACACAGAGGAAGTAAATCAACTGCTCACAGGACAATGCCTTATTCATTTTAGTAAGCTGAAGAAATGCTAAAGGTGAAAGGTGCAAACTGGCTTGTGGGTTTTGAGCAAGTATTAGAAGAATTTGAAAGGGAAAATAATATCCAAAGAGAGTACTCAATCAAGCATGAACAACCCTTTTTTAAATAATGCCTTTTCTTCATTTTAAGTCTCTTATCATAGCCAAACAAGGCAAATGAGAAATTAAAAAGCACATCTTACAGTACTTGAAGTAAAAATGCAGCAAAAGGGAATAAATATGAATCAAACATTTGATTATTTGGCTTTAGGATTGTCAGTAGTAGATGCTGTTGTTCCAGCTAACAAAGCCACCTTCTTGGAAGAGAGACAATTAAGGTACACATTTCAAAGATGGGCCAACTTTATTCAGCTTTAGATTTGGAAGTCCTACTGCTTTTCAAAGTCCACCTCTGCTTTTCAAAATAACTTATGATAAGAATGTGTGCTTACTGATACCTTATTTTAAAATCCTCCTGCAGAATAAATGGACACTTTACAATAATATGAACCAATACCAATAATGATGCAGTGAACCTGTGACCTTCAGTGTGATCTACAGCACAGCCTGAGCAATAAAAATTCTGTTTAAATCAGAGGAACACTGAACTCTTCAGACTTCCCTGACCTTATCCTCAATCTCTAAGGATTTTAGGAATGCCACATCCTACACTCCTGCAGCTGGCAGTCACATTGCCCCAAGACTGCCCTGAGTGCATGTGCCTTGTCATGCACACAGGATTTTGGAATAACCATCAGTGTGGATCCCCTTGGACAGCTACACCTCTGTGCAGCATGCCAGTGTGCACTGCAAAACCCACCATCGTTGTCAACTTTGTGACCAAAAGCCTCTGAGATGGGGCAGTTCAGAGAGGCTCGTTTCTACTCAGATGCTCTTCTGCAGAGTCATGTCTCGAGTCAAACACTACTGCTCTATAAGCAAACATAGCATCAATGAGCATATGGGACATGTGGAAGCCAAAGCAAAGGCAAATTGACCTGAATCCAGGAAATGGACAAGGGGGAAAGTACAGGAACCTGTAGCAGTACAGTGTTTGGGAAATTGTCACAACATGGATGCAGATAAACACTGCTGAGATTCCTGACTTCAGAAATCTGAACCAAGGAGATTTAGGCTCGGTGGGAAGGGGACAAAACAACAGGATTACTTGTGGCACCTTGCTGTGACCTCCCCACTGCATGCAACTAAAAGCGAGTTTGCCCATTTCAGTGAGAAGGTTTTACTTTCTGCTATATCCCCTTTCTATTTTCTGTTTCTTTCTTTTCAGGTTCCTTGAGGCGTACCTTTATTGCCTTTTTAATGCTTTCCTACACAGGTTTGAAGATCTCTGGATGTAGTCTGCTGCCCAGCATTGCTGAGCAATTGTTTTGGCAATACCTGAAACTTTACAAAGCTTAGTGATGAAAGTCAGAGCTTTCTTAAGCTCAGCAAGGACGCCTGGTGGTGAAACACAGGGATCCTGTTCTTCTAGAGCTTCTGTGCAGATTGGTTTTTTAATGTTCTGTTCTTCAACATCGTGGCCTGGGAACAAATCACATCAGAGGTCTCTAAGTCTTGGTTAGACAAGCAGGTCAGAGCTGATCTTCCCTGAGGACAGCGCGGTGAAGCAGAGAACTTCTCAGTGTGTTTTCCCACATTTCATTAACTTTGTACAGCTAAAGCTGGTTCAAATAAAGATCTTTCTGTAAGAAGTGCCTAAAGCACTGTATGTAAATATTTATTACTGTTATCAGAAACAAATTGCTTGTCATTTCTTATAAAACAGTACAGTGATTTATCTCTGCTTCCAGTGTAATGCATTAGTAGGCCATGCCTGAAGTATGCAAGTGAACATCTTGAAAATATTGAGAGCAGTCAGGTCTGTAGAGTGAAAATGAAGAATAAATGTGCTTTCTTAAGTAGCATGCCACAAGCTAGAGTGCCAAACAGGGCTATAACTTGTACACAATATGTAAATCCAAAATGAGAAACAATTAAAAGTCCTCATCCTCACAGTGAAGAATTTCTTCCTAATATCTAACCTAAACCCACCCCTGTCAGTTAAAAGGCCCTCTCCAGCTTTCCTGTAGGCCCCCTTCAGGTACGGGAAGATGCTGTAAGGTCTCCCCAGAGCCTTTTCTTCTCCTGGGCTGAACAGCCCCAGCTCTCCCAGCCTGCCTGCAGGAGAGGTGCTCCAGCACTCTGAGCATCTTCATGGCCTCCTCTGGACTTGCTCAAACAGGTCCATGGGCTTCATATGTTGTGAGCCCCAGCTCTGGCCACAGCAGAGGTGGGGGTCTCATCAGCAGAGCAGGAGGAACACCTCCCTTGAGCTGCTGGCCACACTTCTTATGATGGGGGACAGGAAGACCCCAGTGTGTGGGTGAGACAAGCAACATGGATGAACAGGCAGCAGCCACTGAGCTGTTGTGACACAGTGCAGTTGGCAAGAGCAGCCTTTGAACAGCAACACACCCCAGACCATGTTTTCCTTCTATTCCTCCATAGACAGGTAAGCTTCAGATTTAAACAGCTGGATTTAAAAACACCTGTATGTGTGTGGGTGTGTGTATCTAATTTCACTGGTAAAGTTGTAAGGCTGTGTTTTAAGTTGCACAACACTTCTGTAGGATGCTTTGGAACCCTTTCAGCACGTCTCTAAAAGTCCCCAGTTTGTCTGAGCCATCTGCTCCTATACTCTCAAGCCTGAGTAAATGAGGCACATGAATGAAATGGTCTTAAGGAAACCTTGGACACACTGAGGAGTCTTAGATCAGGTTTAATAGGTGCTACATGCAGTAACGTGAGGTCCTCTCAGCTGTTATGGTGTAATTCCTTGAAATTTTACACATTTCAGTTAGAGAATCAGTGTAATACATGCTGGATACACTTACCCGCCTTTTTTGTTACAGAAATAAAACCAGCACTGTTTTTATGAAACGGTTGATCTAGTTTCTGCAACAAAGCAATCACAGTTTTGTAAAGCCTAAGAAAAGCCCCGTGGAACTTCAGCAACAAACCACAATCCATCCTTTTAACAGAAGAAACCTTTCTATTAGAAAGTGTAGAGAGAAGTGCACTAAGTGTGTCAGTCATGACCAGTTGGGTGCCAAGCCTTTACAGACCATAGGGACCCGCTTGCAGTCTCCACTTGAAAGCAGTAACAACGAAGGGAACAAGAAAAATGGGCACAAGGCAAATCATACTTGAATCAGCCCTCTGACTGCAGCTCAGCAGAGAGGCACACTTAGGATGCCATGACCTCAAGCTCTTCAGGCATGAGAAACCTGTGTGAGAGCTGCACTTATTCAGGCACTGCAGCTACCTGGCTATTCCCTGGAGAAGAAAGGGATAGGCAGGCTCACAGGGCTGAAGCAAAGCCTCACTTCCAAGATGTCCACTTCACTACTCTGCCACAGCAGAATCAGAACATCCAGCCAAGACTAAGACTGACTTTTTTTTTTTTAAAGGAAAAATATTTGATAGACAATGCAATACACAGAGGATCCTGTGATTACACAGTAATACTGAATCTGAGTGACCTGTAAGGAAGAGTTCCTCTCTCCTGGTGTTGTTCTGAGGCTGTGTGATAAATTTTGCTGAGAATACAAAGAAATAATCAAAAGAGATTGAGTCACCTCAGTGTGCACCATGTGCCCACCAAGGCACATGATTTGCACCTGTGCTAACACCCATCCCTCTCAAGCTCAAGTATAAAGCACTGGCTTAACCCCACATTCATACTTCACCTACTGACCCCAGCTAACTAAACACAATATAGAAATCAGGCAGTTCAGTTGTTTGTGATTGTCTGTTGAGATGCTCAGGAAAATCAGAATTTTTGTTTTGAGTGTTCATGCACAACTTTGCAGCAGGCACTAGTGGTACAGGTTTTGGAACCAAAGGAACACTTGTCATTCATTGCTTTTAAGAAAACTTATGAACAGAAATGGAGACAAGAATGTATACATTAAAATATTAACTACTAATGTTCTTGGCATTTACACCCAACTTGATATGTATAAAAAATAACATTTAAAAAATTAAATTAAACAGCTTCCCTCGGAAAAAATAAATGCTGCATTAATTTCTTCTTTTTTTTTTTTTTTTTCTTTTTAAAAAGCTATTATATTGAAGTTTCAGGGTAAAAAACCTGCTTTTAACTTAACCCTTCATGCACAGAAACAGCTCTGGGACTACCAAGCACCGAGACAATTCAGCATTACAAGGGCCACAGGTGGTCTTTGAAGTAAAACTACTTCATGTCCCAGTTTTATTCCCTGAACTGCATGTCTTGTCCTTCCCATCATCCAATTCTGAAGCCTAGTTGCTGTCCGAGTCATTGTCTTCATCTTCTTTTCCAGACAGAGCATGTGTGGATGAATCATTAGCTTCTCCCAAAGGAACAGCCCCTTTCCTCTGTGGCAGCACACTGAAAAAGGCCTCCTTCCAGTCTCTCTTCTCCAGGTATGCAAGGATGATCTCAAACACTGCAACATCAGAAAAGCCCATCAGCTCTTTTACAGGGAGGTAAGTGAATTGCTGATAGCAACACACCCCCAAATCCATCTTTACAGAGGTTTATGTGCATTCTCTTGTGGCACCTTCAGAGCAGAGCTGATGAACTGCAGGCAGGAACAGACACTGCAATTCTGCCACTACTGCAGCCTGAAGTCAAGCACACCCCGAGTTTCCAGCTGCATGACAACATTTCTCTCAGGGACTGAGACAAATACTTCAGTCTCACCAGTGCCTTCTGTAGGCACCAATGCTTTCACATGTTGGACAGGAATCCTGCTGTGAATGCACTTTAATAAGGGTTTTGACCCCTGCTATAATTAGCTCTTCCTTTCTATATAAGGCAACAGTGAAAGATCAAATTTTAGGAACATGTAACATCTTACAAATACATAGTGTTTGATAATGTGAAGTCCCGTGCCATACTATATTCTCCTCCATGCTTAAATAATCTTTATTATCATGTAAATGCCAGCCTCATTAATATGGCACTTTCAGAAAATAAAGTTATCATTGAACAATGTGTTACATAAAAAAATACACTTGAAATAAAGCAAGGTAAGATAAGCTAAAGAATGTGCAGTGGGACACAACAAAGACTTTGACACCATGTCAAAAATTTCCATGAAGGTCTGAGTAGGCTCCATTTTGCACGTATTTTTGTATAATGACACTGAAAGACAATCTAATAATAAAGCTAAAAGTTTTAAAGGAGCAGGATTCAAGGCTTGGTTAAGCAATTAAATACTTCAGTCAGAACCAGGAAATCAGGTAAAAATACAGTTATGAAAGTTCAGTAGTTGGAGCACTGCTGATACCAACTGAGGAAAGTCTACAGGTACTGAGACAGTTACTGCTGAACAAAGCTGTTGAAAGAGGTGAAAACATCACAAACATTCATCCTCCCTTGGCATAAAATGTGTACCCTACTATAAAATACAAAGTCGGATAGTTTCCAGCATTTTACTCACTTATACAGTAAACTTGGAAACAAGACCAGGATGGTAAGAAAGCCACAAGTAATCCTCAGAGAAGCCAACATGATACAATGTGCACTTCTAAATGGCTAAGACACTGTCATTTACATTTAACCATATCTATAATATTTAAAGGTCAGTGTATTCTGAAGGCAACTAAATTCAAGAAATATCAACATAATAAAACAAGGTTTAGGTATCTGCACTACAGTGCAGAGGGTCAAATGGTGACTATTACAGGTATATTCTAAAATAATATAATTATTTTATGATTCAGAACTTACCATGATTGACAGCTAACACTTTCCGACTGTTCATTTTGACAAAGTTTCCAAGTGGGAGCTGTGCATGACCAATTCCCTGCTCTACAGCTTTTCTGTAAGTAATTCCCTGGGAAAAAGATACCAAAACAAGTGGATTGAGAATTACTGTTTCAGATCAGCCCATACACATTCACTACAAGTATCATTTTCTGGCAAGAGTTTTGCCTAGGCTGCCATGATGTTGCTTTAGAAGTTGGTTGCAAAAGAAAAAAACTTAACCCCATTGGACAGCACCTTCCTCAAGGGCTACTACCTCTAGAAAACTCACTACTTTCTATATATGTCACACTGTGACCTGTGGTCAAAAGGATTGTAAATGAAACCTGTTCATGCAGCTGCAGCTCTAGAACCATCAGCTGCTGCCTGTTTTAAAGGAGCTTATGTTAAAGTACAAAGTTATTCAGGTTGCAGTCACTCAGTATTTTTTCAGAGGAAGAGTAAAGAATAAGAAAACTCTGGAACACAAGCCACTGCTACCACTACAAGTGTTTTTCACATTTCTTCAACATTTTTGAATTCTTTTTTGAAGAAGATTTCTCATTATTATGTTAGTTTACACCTGAACAGCAATAATGTTCAATAAGGTGCCAAAAAAAGCTGCAAAGAAACAGACCCACAGTTTACCTTGTGGTGATTGTGATCCACCAGTCCTCCAATCACATAGGCTTTCTTCTCATCAAGCTCTCTGAGAACATCTGGGGAATCTGAGGTAAGATATACTAGGTCTTCTTTCTTTATTAGTTCACTATAGTGCTCTGTTCTAATTTGGATATCCTCAAAAAAAGGTAGTTAAAAAAAGTTACAGTCAACTGATGAATTGCTGGCCAAGCTTTACAGAACCAAGATGGGACTGGCAAAATAAATCCAACAGTATGTGGTCATTCCACATTCCTCCCTTCACGTTCAAATACATAGCACAGTGCAGATTGATTTTCTGTGTAAACAATCCAGTCCCTAGAGCACTGACTTGTAAAAATCAGCAAGAAATTTTCTGAAACCCCAAAAGAACTTTACAAATCCTTAAGCTCTTGTGATTCCCTTCAAACGTTGTCATGTTTCTCCTATGGATTCAAGTAATTTTCAAGTCCATTAAGAAAAGTGAACCCAGAAGCAAACACTTAGTTAACATTAATTGTTCAGTAAGAGAAATTTATGCTAAGCTCTCATGAAGCAGCTATTGCACAAGAACTGCTGGAAACAGGACTGCTTTTATTTGTTCTAAGTGCTCTTCCTTTGCAGTTGTTGAAATAGTGGCTTAACAGGGAGCCACAAGGAAAACCAACATAAACCATGAGCTTAACCATAAGAGAAGCTACTTCTCTCCAGAACACTTCACACCTGAGAGGCAACGTGATGAAAGTGAAAGTGCACACCACACTTCACACCTGAGAGGCAACGTGATGAAAGTGCACACCAGAGAATCACATCCCAACTGGTAAGTCTTATCTTGGACATGGATAAAGGAGCACTGTCAAGACAGACTGCTGGAACTGCCTAAATCAAGGAGTCCTGCTTAGTCTATCAAGAATAGAATTTGTTCAATAAAAATAAGTGAAAATGGATCTGTGTGTAGTTTTTCAAGCAAAATTCAAATCTAGATTCAAGAGAAGCAGTCTTTGGCTTATTAAAGTTAAATCAATTACAAGGACCAAAAAGCTACACTTTTTCAAATATACTATTGCTCACATGTATTACAAAAACACACGTGGAAAAAAATCATGTTCTTCACAACTAACAATATAGTTAACAATTACAATCAAGCCTTTAACTTTTTACAGAAATACTCAATTATTCACCTTCCAATTCACCCATCCTTTGTCATTTTCATTCATGTTGGTCTTCAACTGTCCCCCATGGCTGGTCAAGTAAAACTTCAAACAGAACAAACAAGAGGTACAAAATACAGAAATGTCAATTTGCCACAATCTGTTTCCTCTCTTTCCATCCTTAGCTATTAGCTAAAACACTTCATATTTTTTAGATGGAAGTGGTACTAGGACCATATTCATATGTGATATGAATGTGATATATCACTTAGTGATACGTTTAAAAGACAAATTTGGACTTAGAGTGACTTTTTTAAATATCTGCCACAGCTAAAACCAAGAGTATCAACAGCCTCTTACTGGTACGCCTGGACCTTTTCATCTGCATGTACATACTGTTCCATATACAGGAGTATATTTATAACGTGGGTGTTTCAATAGAAGTAATTTTCTTATGGAAGAGGCAGCTTAAATGTCTTCTTTTCCTACTACAGTTCTCATGTTTGGTACTTGGCAACAGTCAGTGTTCAGTGTGTTCAGACTTACCTGCACAGGATGACATGCCTTGCGGTTTTCTGCGTAACATCTCTGAATCTGCTTGTGAAGCTTCTTAACATCCTGTACACAACACAGTTTGTTTTTATTTAGTCCTTCATACAGACCATCACAAAACGCTTTATCATGAGCCAGTCAGAAGCTAAAGAGAGAAAAGGGAAGCTTTTAACTGGCAAAAGAGACTACTCAGAGAGTATGGGCAGAGAAAAAACGCCCATTGTGAAGGGATTTTGCTGACTGGGAGACACACACATCTTCCACACAGGTGTACTTAGACACCTCTATGCATGTGCATGATTTACATTATTCTAGGGAAAAAAATCACAGGGAGTTAATTAACATACAAAATTAATCTGAGGAATCAAACAGGTGACAACACTCGGTCTGAACCCATGGGAAAATCCTGCGAACATACAGTCTATATTTAAGAAAATTAAATATACCTAGTTAATCTGAAGTTCCTTTTACCTTTAACACCATCAGGTCATCAAAGCTGCAGTCCACGATGAGGCGAAGTGTGCTAGGAACAACTTCCCTGCGCATGCACTTCCTGTCATTCCCCTCACTACTGGAATCCAATTTCGACTGACGTTCTAGTTTTCTCTTCTGGCGTTTTTCTTTTCGTTTCTGCCTAAGTAAACAAACAAATCAATCCTCAAAAAGTGCTGCCAAGTCTGCTGAGGTACTGTGCTACGCACACAAATGCAGACTTCTAGGACCAAAGCAGTTGTCCTGTGACTGTGATAGTTTAAACTCAGCCTGTTGCTGCATTTGTGCCACACTGAGGCCAGCACAAAAAACAACCCACCTTTGTGAAGTTATGTAAATACCTACAAAGACAGACATCTGACACAAATTCACTCAACTAACTCAACACTGAGAGTCTCGTGGATTTAAAGGTGCTCTGAGTCAAGTCTTGCAACAGAACTAGCCAAAAAGTGGTTAGTTTACACATGAACAGCAATCACAGTATCAGGATCAGAATGAGGAAGACAATTCACATCCTGTTTCACTGAACAGTTTTTCAAAAGGCTTCTGAAGAAATCGTTCCATCCTCCTGTCCTCCTGATAGGAGCAGGCACTTGGCAGATCAAATTTCAGAGACAGCAACAACCACTGTCTTGTGAAGGAGCACCTGGCAGTCAGAGGGATAAGAATAAACCACCATCAGTGCATTTGCAGATGCACTTTCTCTCAACACAACAAAACAGAAGCTCTATATAAGTCAGCGTCACTTGTAGCACAGCACTTCATGTGTCAAATGTAGCTGCTTTTATTGAGTGTCTTTGTAGGAATCTCAAGTCTGACAGCACCAGGAAAAGAGGAACAAGGCCACATGTTCTGTCTCCTTCCTGACAAATGAACAACATGCACGTTTGAATCCCTCCTGAAGCTGAGGAACAATTCCAGTACAAGGAGGGGATGCTTACCTCTACAGCCTCCTCAAGTGCAGGTGAAGTAGCCTGGGGCTACTGCTTTAAACCTGGTGTGGGAGAAAACTGGTTCAACTGCCTTGATTTGATGAAGCAATTCACAAGCACATTCTGCCGGCACGTCGTTATTATTAGCACTAAACATTACAAGGGAACCTCGGGAAGCTGCTTTGCAAACCATACCTCCGTAGATCTTTCTGTTCTTCCCACTGCTTCTGCTTCAACAGCTTCTTCCTTTGCCTCTTGGACATGGACTCAAGGCATTCTTCCTTGCCTGGGCCTGCCTCCAGTCTCTCTACTGGATTGTCATTTGATTTCGCCTTTCCTTCCACATCAGGAACTTCAGGGGTATTTTCCATTGGCACCTCTGGACTGTCTGTGGGTGATTCAGATGACATTGGCTTTTGGCTGGATTTTCTGATGTGTTTCTCAACACATGCTGGATATTTCATTAAAAGCAAGTCTTCTGCTCACCAATTCTCTAGGAAACAAAGTAATATGAGTGTCATTAACAAGATGCTCAACTAGAACAAACACCACTCAACACTTACTATAAGCCTGAATAAACAATAAGAGAAGGCCTTTTTTGTTTGTTTAAAGCCTCTGCAAATAGTAACAGAACATTCTAGAAAGGTTATAACCTGTATTATATATAACCTAAAGGTTATAACCTGTATTATAACCTAAAATTCTGCCGGCTAGATCTACAGGTAGTGAATAGTTTCCGATTAAAAACTTTGCAAAAGAACAAAAAAAGCATAAAATTAGAGAATCATACTGAATCAAATGTAATAGAAAAAAAAGCACTAGCAGTATGTGTACACAAACACAAAAAATTCAAGACGTATCTTGCAATATAACTACAGCAGCATATTACAGAAATGTAATTTTAAAGTGACTAAAGCCATTTGGGGGGGAAAAAAGCAGTGTGAACGAGCTGTATGCCTTCAAAATTTATTTTTATTTCTCCTGGAAACAGAAGACACTGGACAGTAACAGACAGTGGCCACTGTCAGTAGACAAACACAACAAGTAAAAGGATGAACAATTGTTATTCAGCAAAACACTCTCGGTTCAAGTCAAGTACAATTATAACCACTCCTTTCCAATGGCAAGCACGATTTTTCCGCCCTAGCAGCTCCTTTGTGCTCGACACCTACACAATTCCCCAAGGACAACTTCACCGGAGAGCACTGCATCTCCAGCAGGCAGGAAACAGCAACCCCCTGGCTTCCTGCAGCGGCACCAGAGACAGGAAACTCACAGGACACCACAAATCCAGCGCAGGTTTTGCTGGCACATCCCGCTTTCCCTGTCTGAGGGCGTTCACACCACACCGAGCCCTGCGTGCGCGTATACAGGCGCACAGACAGACACAGACACCCACATATATATACACACACGCACGCAAGCACACGTGTATCTGTACAGGGACACGCCATACGCCCCTCATGACTGCAGAAGGCCGGGGCGGGCCCCCGGAGGGCCGTGTCCCTCCCGGCGGCAGTGCCGGGCGCGGTGCGGGCCCGCGCTGAGGGCCCCTGGGGGCCGCCATGTTCCCCCCCGCCCCCCAGGGGCCGCAACGTACCCGCGAGCCGCCCCGCGCGCGCCCGCCCGGCGTGGGGAAGGGGCGGAGCCGCGCACGCGCAGGCGGGCGGGGGAAGCGCAGAGGGGCGGTCACGTGAGGCCGCCGCGCATGGCGCCCCCCAGCGGCGGGTGGTGTGAGGGCGCGCGTGAGCTCCTCCACCCCCGGCCGTGGCTGTGGGGGCTCCGCGGGGATAAAGGGCAGAGAAAAGGAAGAGAAAAGCTTATTTTTATCTGGTGGTTTGATGGCCCCGCTGAGTTCAGGCAGGGGCCAGCGAAGTATTTTTAGCTGGTGGCATTCCTCAGGGCAGATTTGTATCTGCAGAGGTCCCGGCAGTGCCGTGCTCCCTCCGCCCCCGCGGGAGAGGGACGCGCCTTCGTGCTTCCTATTTTTAAAGGCCACCGACAATTAGCTTTTTGAACTGCCGTGTCAATGCCCAGCGAAGGGCCGCGTTCTTTCGCCGCCAGATAACTCCATGAAAGAATGCTGCCCTGTTACAGGAGTCGGTTCTGGAGACTGGGATGATATTCCATGGGAACAATGTGTTTTGGGCAGCCTATGTGGATGTCTGTTTGCCCCTGGTTAACGAGGCACACAAAGTTAGCAAACACACGAGCGTGCGCTACCATAATCCCCTTTCCGTGTGCGCCAGTGTTTATCTCGGGTTTCACTGGTGCCAGATATACACACTCGTACAGTTTTAGTGCTGGTTTCAGGTTCGCCGCAGCTGTGTTGCACTCACAAAACTGTGCGGTGTCACTATAGTGAGACACCGACCTTTCAACTGCTAATGGAATTTAATATTTGCTGTAGTATTTGATCTAATTTGTGATTCCTATTCAGTGCATTACTTTAAAAATAGCTAGATTTGCATTTGCTGGGGTCTATTTAAAACCTCACTCACGTTACTATTAATATCTTGACAGGCCAGCATCATAAAAGCCCAAATGCTCCAGTCTCTCTGTGGAGAATCCTTTGGTGTTTTTTGGTCACTGAAAGGCAGCAGATGAGTTACCGATAGAAGCCCTTTTTTTGAAAAAAGCAAAAGACATCTGACAAAGTCATGTAATACTCAGTCGTGCTTTTTCCTAGAGTGAAGAAACTGCTTACGCAGTTTGTTTTTCTTACCGTGCCCTCTGCAAAGCGTCAGTATTGCTCATCCAGCCCCGTGTCCTCAGACACCAACAGAGCGTAATGCAATGTTTTCTGAAGTCTGCCAAGTGCCAAGTGGTGACAAAGTGAAATGAAGAACTGAGTGGTTGCAAATATTGAGAAAGAGCTGTCTAAATTTCATTATTTTTATAGGGCCTTAACGTGATCTTTTCAAGATGCTGATCCCAGTGGTGAGTCACCCTCCCCCCCAGCCACAGAAAGAACTAAATATTCCACAGCTTAAAGCTGCAGCTCAAGAGGCAGACTATGGAGAAGAAAACAGATACTCAGGGCAGGCTCAGGTGTGGGCAGTGACATTACTCCCTGTGGGCTGGGTCTGACCGCAGCACTATTGAGGAAGGCTTAGGGTGCAAACTGGCTTTGGCCAGGGGCTTGGATGGGTATCTCTGACCCCTTGCCCCCTGTGGCAGAAACAGGGGGTCTTATTCACCCAAAGCCTGGGAGCTGGGGGCACACGGACAGCAGCTGAAGGGCAAAGATGCGCTGGGGTACTTTGGTGCTCACACCTGAAGGTTTTGAGTTGAAAAGCAAGATCTTTGTGCTCTTGCTTGAGAAGAGAAGGCAGAAAGAAACATTTTGTTGACCTCAGAACATGGGAGGAAATCTCATTAGTTTTATTAGGCTGTATAAAGATATGAGCCCTATAGTTTGGACTCTGGAAAATGTGCAGCAGCACGAATACTTTGACCCCAGTCCATATGCCAGCATGGCGTGAAGCATCCATGAGGGGCTGAGCCCACAACCTGTACGTGGTGCGGACTTTGGTGGGCACAGCGCCGTTTTCACCGGTGTAATCTGAAAGGAAGTCACTGCTGATTAACTCTGGCCATAACTGAGGTGAGGCTCAGTTATGGCCAGACTAAGATGTCTGAAGAGCACGCCAGCTCTGTGTTATAGGTATGCCTGTGGGTGTATAAATGTGTGTGCACGTGGAAATGGATGTACAAAATTTCTCTACGTGGCAGTTACGTCCTTAGCTCTGTAATTGGCACAGCTGCAGTGGTGTCCAAAGAGAGATGTGGATTTACATCAGCAGGGATCTGGCCAGGGATATTCTAACAGAGGCCTTTAAAAAAAATTATTTTATATGAAAGAAGAAATAAATTTCTTGTGTCTCAAGAGCACAGAAAGGGGACAATTGCTTTTCTACAGATTTTAGACCAACATCATCTCCCCCTTCTGAGTAAAATGTCAATGCTGCTTTTCTAAAGCAGGATCCACATCTCTGGTCTTTCTCTAAATGGAGTTGGTTTTGCACCAAGATAGTGTCCTTATTTTTTTCAAAACAGCACAGAAAGCCTGGCAAGCTCCTTGTTTACTAAATGCAGCAAAAGGAGTCGTCCGCCTCAGCCCCGTGAATTCGGGAGCATGTCACAACCTGTGCTGAGAAAGCAGCATGACCATCCACAAATGGGGAAGAAGCAATAGCAGACCCCTGGGGTTTCCTAATCTCCTCCCTCCCACGTGTGCGCACACAAACAAAATACGGGAAGAGGCCCAGGAGAACTTCCACAAGGTGCAGATGAGCATGGGGGAGAAGCAGTGGCATGGACCTGTTCTTTCCCACTGCTGGGAAATGATTGACATCCACAGTGTTTGCTTGACTTCTCTTTACCACAAAAAAAAACCAGAGGAGGCATTTATACCACTCAAGGTGAAGGCTGCTCTCACTTTACCATCACTTACAGAGGATGGGGCCCTCTGGGATCGTGCAATTGCAGCCTGGGCTGGCCCTTGCTGGGTTGGGGTGTTCGTAGATCACAGTCACATGAAAGCAACCTGTGGAAGTGAAGTGGATGACTGTGTTGATGGCTCACTTGTGTGTTTCCTTTACTGGCAGAGCAGATCCTGCCTCCTCACAGAGCTGGGAGGGCTTTGTGTGCTGGGGGAGAGGCAGGCAGCCTCGCAGGCTGTGTGCCAGGGCGTGCCAAGAAACACGGGGGGTTGGCCTGCTGCCCCACTGACACCTGAGGGACAGCTGAAGGACATCCTTTAACCAGCCCTGTGGCCACGAGGTTAGTGGGAGAGGGCCTGGGATTTACTGTCAGAGGAAAAGGGAAGCATGTGGCTTAGGCAGCCAGGGCCTTTCCAAGGGAGGTGGTGAAGTAAGCACAAGGAAAGGGAGAAGGGCTTGGTTTGCCCTGCTCCCAGACCTTGCCAAGCAGGTACCCTTCACAGAGGTGGGACAAAATGTCTTGTTTTATCTCATCTTTCAGGCTCTAACCTCTGCCACTGCAATGATGTGAGATGGGGGCTGGGGATGCTGAAAGAAAGAACGTTGGTTTAGTATGGTACTAAATGTAGCAGGCACTGACATCACATCTGAGTCTGTAATGAAGTAGGATCAGATTTTGGGATAGCACTGATAAATCCCATGTACTTCTGCTTCCAGGAAGACCCTTAAAAAACCTCTGCTTCTCTGGTTGCTCAGAGATGATGACAGATGATGCAAGACAGCGGAAACAGTGGTCAGGATCTGGCCCCTGCAGAAACAGACCTGATGGTCCTTTTGTTCAGAGAGAGGAGTGGTGGCAGGATCTCCTGGTTCTTCCAGCACTGGAGGTGGGCTCTGCTGCTCAGAAATGGAGATGTGTGGGCTCAGTATTAAAAAATGAAAGCCGAGGCGATTGATAAAATGGGGCAGAAGCTGCCAGTTACCTTAGTTCTTAATAATTAACTGGAAGTCCTTTAATGAACTTAGTACCTGAGTGTGGAATTTGGAATCTGACCTTTACTACATCTAGATAAACAGTGTGGCCAAGCCTGTGGCTCTCTCTGCAAGCTCCAGTCTCAGCTCACTTCTTGGAGGTTCTCGCACTTCATGCTGCAGTCAGGAGCTCGGCAGAGTCCAGCATGATTCTTCTTACCGTGCTGTTCCTTTGCATCATTTCCACCTACTCAGCCTCTGTGAAAGGTAGGTCTGTACTGGGCTTGGTTCAGCTTCTGCCTCAGCAGAGGCAAAACCAGTGTGTCTATGCAGATCTCTGTTTTGCCTCAAAAATTATCAGCTTTACTCAGACATGCTTGAGTAATACAAGATGCATTTACTAGCTAGGTTTAAGTGCTTGTGGCATTCGTCTCAGCAGAGGTGATGGAGGAGATGATGTTTTCAAGTACACAGGGCCAGTGGTGTGACCAGGAGATCAGAGATCTTGAACTTGCTTAATCAGGACATACTGTGGGGGCACTGACTTCAAAGAGACGCTCAGAAGTTAAACACATGGAGTGCTCTGTGGAGCAGAGCCAGGAAGTGCTCAGGGCTGTCCAGGTTTCAGCTTCTGAGCAGTTGACTCAGCTACCACTGAAGTCAGTAAGAAGCATCCTGTTAATTTCATGAGAACGTTGCTCTGTAGTAAGTCTTGAAAATATGGATGTCTGCAGAAATCCTGTGAGCAGAGCTTTACTCTGGGGTCCTGACAAAGTCAAGGGTATGAAATCTTGGAGACTGTCTGCTTCAGCAGTGCCAATGTGTGAAGCAAGAAAAGGTGCCTATAGTAGTTACTCTTCATGTACGACTTCACATTAAAGTTATAGTAGTGACTCTTCATGTACAACTTCACATTAAATTTAGAGGAGCAGCGACCTTATAACATAAGCTGAGTTTTTAGTTTAATGAGGATGTCTTCATCATGAGGG